CATCACTTAATTGAAGTTATTTCAAGTGTGGACAGAGCTCCAACCGTCTAGCCTGATCGGTCCCATCTCCATTCATGGTTTTTACTAATCTGTATCAGTATGGTGTTTTTTCAGCATCATTTTTGATGTTTTACATTTAACCACGGCAAAGTATGTTAATCTTGTTGTTGTTGTTGGTGTCTTTGTATGTGTAGTTTAAGTAAAACATAAAATGATGCAGACGCAAAACTCACACGAGTAACGAGGGGCCAATCAATCTTCGCTTCCATCATCATTTTGATAAGAGAATTTTAACTCTATTTTCTTGTATATTCCACAAATTCATTGGTTTCTCAAAGATTCCAAATTCCCTGGGAAAAATAATAAACATTAACAATACATTTATAATGGGGTGCCTTTCAGGACACCTTCAAATGCACGCATATGAGGGGGGGGGGGGGGGGAGGGGGACAAGGACATATAAGGCAAACATACAGAATGGTTAACACTACAGTAAATAGGCTCGTCTGAAAGCAATTTACTTTTAAAAATATTTGCAGAATAGTTGCTTTATAGGTTAATTTCACTTTGAGACTTCTACTAAATGTACAACGCTGATCCCTGAGAAGTGTAGAACAGTTTATTTAAGCATCTAAGCTATATAAAATATGTCTGTGTATGATTCCTCTCCAGGACGGGCAGCTGATCGAGTGCGGCTGCTGCTACGGGGAGTTTGCGTTTGAGAAGATGACGCAGTGTTCAGACGGACATCTGTTCTGTAAAGAGTGCCTCGTCAAATACGCTCAGGAGGCCGTGTTCGGCTCGGGGAAGGTACACACACTTTGTTCTTCTCACATTTAGATATGACATGCTAATGTTGCCAGGAGATGTGTGATGACGGTGTGTGTGTGTCTTGCTGCAGTCGGAGCTGAGCTGCATGGAGAGCGGCTGCCCGTGCTCCTACCCGGTGTGTGAGCTGGAGAAAGTCCTGCCAGAGAACATCCTGTGTAAATACTACGAGAGGCAGGCGGAGGAGGCGGTCGCTGCCAGCTGCGCTGATGAACTTGTGCGGTAAGTGTGTGTGTGTGTGTGTGTCTGTGTCAGTGTGTGTGTGTGTCTGTGTCATACTTAAAATGTATGGAAAAGGTCTTAAAAGGTATTCCATTTGACTTCAGGATTCCTGCATATACCCTGAGAATGGTTTATATTCCAACATTTTGTCCAACTTTTGTCTAAATATTCACAAATAATGTTAGACAAAAGAATCATTTGAAACTTGGGCACTAGGTCAGTATTGATGCATTTAAATCTAAGCTCTATAAAAGGGATCGGTAACGGCCCGTCCACACAGCAGCGTTAAAAAATCTTGAAACGCTTCTGCCCATTCACTTTGAATGGGGTGACGTCACTTTCCCTCACTTTTTGCCGAACTGCATTGTGGGAAGCAGAGCGGAGATTTTCAGGATTTTCAGGATTCAAAGTTGAGCAATGTTCAACTTTTGAAGCTGAGGTGGAAGCGTCAGCCAATCAAATCCTGTGTACGCAAATCTGACAGTTCAAGCGCTAGCCAATCAAACGGCGTGTATGCTGGGAGAGACATACCGCAGGTCATTTCCTCATATTCCAAAAATGGAGGAGAAATTAGCGGTAGGGAATCATATCACCCGGTGCTTTATGACCAGTCCCTATTTACCTACCGGGATATAAACCGGAGGAGCCAGGCATGGAGGGAGGTGGCAGAGACAGTGGTAGGTTTTCGTCTGTTTGGGGAGTTTATATCCAGTTTACTTCAAACTTTTTTGCTTCGTATGTCGGGGGCGGGAGATTCATGTGATTGGTTGTTGGTGCCTTGCTCGCAAAAAATCCCCAAGCTTCAGATACGCCCACCTCCAAGATTTGTTTAACGCTGCCGTGTGGACGGGCCGTAAGGGAACTGAAATGTCTCTTTGTTGATTATGTTATCGTTTCTTGTGCCTGTGTCTCATGTGCAATGTATCATATCTTTCCCTCCTTGACCCTCCTTCCTCTCTTTTTCCTTTTCAGGTGTCCGTTTTGCACGTTCCCAGCGCTGTTGGACAAAAACATGTCTCTGTTTTCAGCTGCCCCAACCCTCGCTGCCCCGCAGGTCAGTCGCGTCTCTGTATTTATTTAGGCTTTTAAACAACTTTTCCACGGTGTTGTGTTTGCCTACTGTGTTTCCTCGACACACAATGACTGTAAACGAATATGCCTCTGGCTCTTTTGCACAATATATGCATCCTCTTGAGTTAAATCACACACTGTTCAAAAGAGAGAGAACCTGGATTTGATTTCAACATCATCAATAATTCAGTCCATCATAAAAGCTCTGTGTGCGGCGTCCACTTGACCGTAGATCATGAGAGTGAAGCCCAGACAGGAGACCGGCGCTGTGTCTCGATTCGGACACTTTCTGTCCTACATTGCACTCTAACACTAAAGCAGTACATGCATTTCAAACCAGTCTCATATCTCACACTGCTGCTGTGCCCTCTCCAGAAGTGACCATTGCCGTTGTTCGCTAGCTTGATAGCAACAATCATTTGCTGTACAGACTGCTCAAACAACCCTATACAATCAATGCTGGATTCCTTTTTGACTCTAGTAAAGTAATACGTTACTTGGATAGTGAAAACATCCCACATATATCATTTTTTTTGTATAATGCAGTGTTCACCTTAGCCACTTTTGTTACGTAGATTGCGTTCGTTGCGATATAAAGTGTGTCCAGCGTTCCACACTCAACTTTTAAGCTGTTATGAGAACACCATCTGGTTACTCATGGAGTGGTGACGTATTTGTGTAGGCCTAACCACAAGTTATCATCACATAGCTCCCTCTACAAAAAGCCAGCAAGAGTTCCCTTTTGGATTTAGCAATGTTGCAGAAAATAAGATCTGTGGCAAACACACATATGTGATACCAACACGTTTTGTTCAGCAGGATAATCTCCACATATTAACACCACTCACTTACCAAGCGCAACTGCAATCACCAGAAGGCTAACGTTAGGCTATAAAGGAACTACAGCACGGTCACATGACTTCACGCCACCACCGCTAAGCTAAATGCGGCTAATGTCTCGGACGTTTTTTTTTCTCATTGTCTGTTGTTTAACATGTTCAGCTTGTGTAAACCACAGAACTTATTTCAGGCATCTAACCAAAAACATGTTCAAGTAACATTGACTTAACACAAGGGAACCAGAAGTGCTCAAATGCTGACTAATACCTGCGTTTTAGGACTCGTTCCTGCACTACTCTATAGTGCATTGCATGTTGCCATACTTGCTAGGCACACACTTATTCACTCCAAACAGAAACTAATCTTGAGTTACGTGATTTGAGAGATCCGTGTGTTTGGATCAGAAAGATGGATGAAGAGAGGATGAAGCGGTTCCATGAGGCGAGGTCTCCGCTCTCTGTCCCTCTCTGTTTATCTCCCGTCTCCTCCCTCTGTCGGAGGAATGCAGGGGGGGGGGGCGATGCTTTGCGTCTGCCAAGGCCGCCCCATGGATTCCTGTCTCAAATCTCCCGTTATATGGCAGAAACACACGCACTCATATTCTCACTCTCACCACGCAAACACAACCCGCCCTTCTTTGTCTCTGTGTCTCTTTTTGTTTCTGTTTTTGTGTCTCTCTTGCTTCTGCTACACACACACACACACACACACACACACACACCACACACACAACACCACACACACACCCACACACACACAACACACACACACACACACACACACACACACACACACACACACACACACACACCACACACACACATTAATGCTATCAATACATTCAATCATGGGTGAAAAAAACTAAAAGACCTGCATTGAAAATATTATTTAAGTAAAAGGATAATCAACAATGTATTTAAAGTAATAAAATACCCAATTTTAAATTACATTTAACATAAAATGGTAGATTCAAGTTGATTTATTAACCCGTGGCGAGTTTGATTTAAGGATCATATTATATAAGCTCAAGACATTATTTTAAAACTGTTTTCTTGCTGAATTTGTACTTAACTACTAAACTACTCTAAAATAAATGTAACCGTGTAAGAAAAAGCAAGTTGCCCATGACAGACAGTGATTTAATTGTATTCTGCACGCTGTGGATAGTGTAGCCTCGAGTACTTCCCATAAACCACGGTTCTCCTTTTCAGTATTTATGATCTGTTTACAGACTTCTCTAGTAACGCACAGAGCTCTTCTGTCTCTTGTCAGAGTATAACGTTTTATCATTGCATCTGCTGACTTTGTCCAGCCTGCGCTATTTCCTCTGGCATCTAGTTTGAAAATGTGGCTTTGAGATAAACAACTGTATTTTGTGATGCTCCTGCTGTCCCTAATATTACATGTTATATAGCGACACATTTGTAGAACAGACTTGTCAGGTTTTATGAATAAGAAAGCAAGGGAAGAATGATTGTCCTGCTGTTCCCTCCATTCACCTGTAGAGGGAGCCAGAGGTTTACAGTGTGTGTTGCTGCCGAGTCACTGCACAGCTGCATCCCATCACACACACACTCACACACCCAACAATACAAAAAGACATGTTCCAGGTCTCTGTTCTGAATGTTGTAAATCTGCAACCAGAAAACAACTGATTTGGATCTCCTAGAATGAATGTATGTTAAATGTTATTTACAGCATTATAATCACTTTTGAGTTGAGAAGGAAACGAGGCCGGTGCTGTTTTTTGTAACAGAAAATGAACACTTCCTCTTTAAGTCATGTAGGAGTCTGAATCAGAAATACTTGAATCCACCCGTAATGAGGAAATGTACAATGTTACAGCGAAGATAAGAATAGCAGAATAAAAAGCATATTTTGTAATATGTAATGGTACAGAAAATTATCACAAGTCACTTCCTTTTTTACATTTTTGTAGGAATAAGGAAGTGAATCCTCTGTGGTGAAAACGCCCTCCCCCCCCCCCCCCCCCCAAACACGTTTTTGTTCTCGAGACGATCCGTTTCATCTCTTATTTTTATGTTTATTTGACTTTTTTTTTGTATCAGCACGAGCCCGGTTCCAGCCTGTTGTCGACCCTTCGGCCCTCAGTCTCAGGGCGGGGCTTCATTATGTAACTGACACACTTCCTGTAAAGCCCACCCGCCTTCTCCCCACACTGCCTTATGATTGGCCGGCTGCACTTTCCACTCCCCTCTTGCTGCTTTTTGATTGGTCGGAGACACTTCCTCCTTCGTTTCAAATGTGGTTCAGATCAAAATGACCCAGATTCTCCTCCCTCCCTCTCTCTCCTCTCCCCTGGCTCTGTCTGGCCCCCCCCCCCCCCCCCCCCCCCCCCCCCCCCCTCCCCTCCTGATAATGTTTTCCACATGTGGTCATGAGGACATTTGGACATCCTTGTTCCTCCAGTGTGATTGCTTCATGTGGAGGAATGTCAAAATGTAGGCCCAGAGATAAATCTGTGAGATCTCAAACATTACCACAGCTGCACTATGATTCCATTTGCAGTAAAAGCCGCCCTCCCCACCACAACACTCGCAAAAAAAATTACCACACCCGTGCACGCTCGATGCAGCACCCCCCCCCCCCTCCCCCCCCCCCCCCTCCCCCCCTCCAATCAGAAACTCTGCACACTGCTTGCCTTATAAGGGCAGCTGCAGCCTGCACCACTGTTGAAGAGTTACAAAGAAAAGGTATGAATGAATATGCAGGAAGGGTGGGGGGAGCACCCAAGGGGGAGGAATGCAGTGAATGGGTGGGAGGACAAGATGGGTGGAGTGAATGGAGGTAGAGACAAAAAAAAAAAAAGCACTGTTTCCAAGATTCAAACTACGATAATACTTTATTGTGAGATCAAGTCTGAAATATTTTGAAGACTAGGACAAATATTAAGACATGTTTCAAGAACATTCACCATTACACTGTAGACAGCATGTTCAAGACCCTCTAACCTACCTGGGATTAACTCATTTCACGACTGACAGAGAAACAGTGCTTCAGTCCAACCTCAATAAGCTGCGGAAATTGTACGATAAATGTGTGTGCAACCTTTTGGTCACATTTCAGCCACTCTCGCTTTTATTGAAATCAGACACCCTTGTGGGGGGGGGCGGGGAAGCCACGCCCCGAGGAAGAGTTTCAGCTCGACGTCACCGGCTGTATTTTTAGCCGAGCTATAAGAACTCAGGTGTGTTCCTGCTTTTACAACAGCTTGTCAAACAAGTCTCAAACGCACACTGTCACTCTCTCTCTCCTGTGGTGTGACTCTTCCTGGTGTCTAGGTTACCACTAGGGGGCGATCTTCCCCCGCTCTGCCTCCCGGGGCTTTGTCTGACACATGAGTCTGCTTTCTCCCCCTCCTCTACAGAACCACGTTTTACTGATTCATCACCAGAGAGAGTCTGTTTCATGGACACTCCCTTTATGAATCCAAAAATGTGAACATAGCCTGAAAAATGTCTCCTCCTTTGCCTGAAGCTACCACAGTTCGACTTTTAACGGACCTTGTGTGCCTCTGTAAAGTCTTTCCATGCAAACCCAATCCAAATGCCAAGGAAAACTCCAGTTCCACACCCTCTGGTGACCTGCACACACACACACACACACACACACACACACACACACACACACACACACACACACACACACACACACACACACGTCTCCGGGAACATTGTGAGAGCTGCAGGCCTGAGATGACAGAATAACACACACACTGGCTGCAGGAAGAGGACGCAGAGGGTGTGTTTGTGACCTTTCCTCCCTAGGTTCAGGGTTGTCGTGGCGATGTGGATCACACAGCATCACCCGTCCCACGCCTCGTATTCAATATTAGATGAACGGTTCAAATATTAATGGTGACACCACTTAGCTAAGGGTTAGCGATGGGAGGCAACCCCGAGCTAACGTGTCTGTGTGGGTTGTTTCTCGGGGTGACACCGGGACGAAAGAGGATGGAGTTGCTGTTTCTAGGCAACCAAACAGTCAGCGGCGAGCCAATCTTGCTGCAGTTCACTCACACACACATTTGCAGGGAGAGAGCCACACCTAGCTGTGCAAGTCTAAGTCCCTGCAGTGGCAGCAGCATATAGCGCAGACGATGGAGAATGTTCTTATTCAGCAGGAACTGGAGTAGTGTCAGAGGGGCAGTGAGCGAGGGATGAATTATATCTTAGTAATTGGGTGATATATAAATAGAAATAATAAATAGGTTGTTAAAAATGTTGATTTATACATATGGTTTTTTTAATATGAAGTGGAAAAAAGAATGTGTGTGTGTGTGTGTGTGTGTGTAGTGTGTGTGTGTGTGTGTGTGTGTGTGTAGTGTGTGTGTGTGTGTGTGTGTGGTGTGTGTGTGTGTGTGTGCTGTGTGTGTGCTGTGTGTGTGTGTGTGTGTGTGTGTGTGTTGTGTGTGTGTGTGTGTGTGTGTGTGTGTGTGTGTGTGTGTGTGTGTGTGTGTGTGATGTGTGTGTGTGTGTGGTGTGTGTGTGTGTGGTGTGTGTGTGTGTGTGTGGTGTGTGTGTGTGTGTGTGTGTGTGTGTGTGTGTGTGTGTGTGTGTGTGTGTGTGTGTGTGTGTGTGTGTGTGTGTGTGAAGCCTAACAGAGGCAGATATACCTGTCTGAACACACTGGTACACCATAGCAGATATTCTATATTTCACAACCACTAACGCCTTTTCAGCATTTGCTAGTTACAAGCTAACGCGTATGAACAAATAAAATACGATAACTACACTTCTGATACATTCAAACATGTCTCCCAATGTTTCCGCCAAGGAAGAAAAGGATGCTTAAATGATCCCTTTCTGTTCACGGTCTAGTTGTTGAGCTACGTGCCGCCATCTTGATGCACATTGTTTTTCACAGAGCAACCTAATGCTAGCAGCGGTGGGGCGAACGAGGCCTAATCCAGAATATCTCAACGAGTGCATGTACTTCTAGCCCCTTTTTCTACACTTCTTTTATCTGATTGACCATTTTAAACCAAATATAATTCTATTTTATACATCATTTAAATCCTGTTTCTGGGATAACTTAAACTAAATACCTTTTTTATGAGGAGATTTTACAGAAACAACAAATTCTTGTGTTGTGTGTTCCTTCAGGAGAGCTGCAGGAAGTGTCACGTCCAGTGGAAGCAGCACATGGGGAAGACGTGTGAGCAGGTCCTGGAGAGAGACGAGATCGGCATGAGGGTGCTCTTGTAAGTAAACGAGACAAACGGACACTCAGGGCTACGCTAACGATCAGATGAGTCTGAACTCCATAGGATTATATAAAGTGTTATACTTGGGTCGAGGAAAGGTTAAAAAAAAACTCTTGATACATACATATAACAATGCTGCCAAGAGATCTATTGTTATAACTTAAGATAAATTAAGATGGACCTTTTTTAATTCAGTAGTTTAAACGGCAACAGGGTAAGATTGGAAATCAGGACGGCACACATTCACACAAAATTAAAGATTATACCAGCATGCAAACAAGAACACATCTTAGAAGACGTTTCTCTCGCTGTCCTCTCCACTCCTCACCCAGAGAGGATGCTGGGTAAGCTCAAAGCTCAGTTTCACGGACAACAGTGCAGGAAGTGGAGAGGCCAGCTGCTTCCTGTGGCCCAGAAGGCACACAGGCAGTACTTCCTGTTTTGAGCCCAAACACAGATCTTCTTACTTCCTGGTGCTGAAAGAGACAGGAAGTGTTCTGGTAGAGACATCAGAGGAGCTGATGGTTTTCAACAGGACAGAGGAACCTTATATAATCCCTTAAATGCAAAGAGCTGAAGGCGCATCAGTGGACAGACAACAGAACTATAAGAGTCTTTATTATCTTGATCTCAAGATCTCTGAAATGTTCTATATAAACTGATGACTAAAAAAGACTCAACAGTTTTCATTGACAAAAAGTAGGTTTTTTTTACTAAAATCCTCAGACTTTTAGTCGACTAAATCTTGACTAAATAAAAACAGGATGAAGGTGACTAAATTTAAAAAAAATAGCTGACGAAATGAACACTACTGCACTGTAACTTTTATTCATGTATCATGTTTTATTATCTTTGCTTTTTAATGTTTCTTATGGCGCATTTCCATTGCAGCGCGTAGCTCGCTTTAAGCGTGCCGTGTCGTGCCGTCCCCTTTTTTGGTTGTGCTTCCACTAGGCCTCGTTCCGGCGCGGCACGGCGCGGGGCCACTTTTTCCCCTCTTTTCTGGCCCTAGAAAATTGTGGTTCTATCGGGGCCAACAAACAGGGCTGAGTCGGGCTGAGTATGCTAAACTAGAGAGAGGAGCGCTGGCAAGAGGGCTAGAACTACAACAAGATGGACATATTTGACCGTGATTTAATTGTAATACACGTTTCAAAATGATGCCGAAGTAACAACATACTGATACTGTTTAGTAAAAACCATGAATTAATGCTTTGTCAAGTCTGCAGACAGACGGCAGGCGAAAAACCTTTTAAAATGCGTGTTTTTCTAGATGGAGATTGGCTAAGCTAACGCAGTATATGCCCCGACCGTCCACACTCACAACAACGGCCTATACAGACATAAATAAAGCAGCGACTGTATTCACCATGACACAGGTAGTCTGTGGTTTGTACTTGTTTAACTTTTGTCGAGTTTCTGAACATATATAAGGAGCTGTGAGCTCTGAGTGCTCACAGCTAACGGCTGTGTTGTGTTTCTGGATTTCTCATTGAAGATGACGTCACGGCTCCGCCTACACTGCGTTACTATAGTAACTACCCCAGTTCCTAAACTGTAATGGAAGCGCAGCATGAAGTGAGTCGGCCCTGTTAAGGCCCAACGCGGCCAAGCCGTACCGAGCCGTACCGAGTGTGGCCGAGGCCGACCGTGTAGTGGAAATGCGCCATTAATGTCTTTCATTTTTGTAAAGCACTTGCCTTGTGTTGAAAAATGCTATATAAATAAACTGGCCCTGCCTTATTTGTCTCCTTATTCATTTATCTTCCCCTCTGTCCCCAGTGAGGAGCGCATGACGGCGGCCCGGGTGAGGAAGTGTGTGAAGTGCACCACAGGCCTGGTGAAGTCCGAGGGCTGTAACCGGATGTCGTGTCGCTGCGGCAGCTTCATGTGTTACCTCTGCAGGGAGCCCATCACCGGATACAACCACTTCTGCCAACACGCGCGCTCGCCCGGCGCTCCCTGCAGACACTGCCGCAAGTGCTCGCTCTGGACCGACCCCACGGTACACTGACACACACACAGGAGCTCTTATTTTGAAGGATAACATTACTCATTCATTCCCTATAGAGTGGTGGAGTGACAACCCAAAGGTTAGCATCCCAAGGGCTCCCTCCCCTAAAAGCCAATCGGATTGGGAGTCACTCAATGGGAGTATTGCAAAACATTCAGATCTATGGCTAACACACATTTATGATACTTACACGTTTTGTTCGGCAGGATAATCTCCACATATTAACCACCTTTATAATAGTTAAAGCATAAATGCAATCTCTAGATGTCAAAGGCTAACGTTAGCCTATAAAGGAACTACATCACGGTCACATGACTTCACGTCACCATCGCTAAGCTAAAAGCGGCTAATGTTCAAAACGGAAAATCTCTTAAACTCATGATAACCACAGATTAAAGGCGTCTAACCAAGAATGTTTGTTTTTTTTAAACGGTTGACTTTGAGACGAGGGAACTAGAAGTGCTGAGATGCTAACTCATTTCTGGGTTTCAGACTCATTCCTGCGCCGCTCTATTCCGTGTTTTGCCCTCACACAGATATGCTCATTAACTCTCGCTGCACTTTGACCCTGACCATCTGATTCTGTGGTCGCCCACGGTTACCTGGCTGCAGTATCCCTGGCACCCAGAAACCACAATTAGTCCCCGAGCTGTTAATGAGCTGGAGACAACCCAGAAACTCCAGAGAGGAGACGGAGCCAACAGCCAGTCTCCCGGCGCAATGCCAAGAACAAATAGATAAAAACTGCCGACCACAGGGCCTTTAGAAAGGAGACGGCTGCCTTCATTTGATTATTTAAAAGGTTTTCGTGTCAAGAGTGAGAGAGTAGGAAGATCTGACTCATCTAACTAGCTTCATGTTGGCATTCAAGTGTATTTCATTAGGCTACAAAATAGTCACAAATACATAAATGTTTGGGCTGAACTGAATAGTTCAAAGCTTTATTGCCATTCATTCTAGATCGACTTTGAAATATGTTATATGTATTATAATTTGTGTAGAATAAGATTAGAGTCGTAGCTGCGTAATATCAATATCCACTGATGTGATCCAAACCATTACAATTTATTTAGCCTTTAAAAGCGAACATTTTAACTATTGTCGAAATACTGTTTGCCCTCTTTGTCGCACACAAGAAAAGCCATACAATATGACCTCACATTCAATAGCAGATGAGCATGTTTGATTCAGGTCTAGTTTATTGGGACTACATAGGCATGTTGTTATGACTAACTGCAGCACCCCCCCCCCACAGAAGCTCTGACCTCGAATTGTTTGGCAGACACAACAAGCCCGCAGCTAAACGAGCACTATGTTGGCTGGACCTTTTTACATTTACATCTGCATTACAAGCTTCAGTCCTCTCTGCCTTAGAGAATGTAAAATGATTTTGTTGTTATTATCGGGGTACAGCAAGAGTTACATTCACCCTCATAATGTTGATGCCGTTTTTGTCTGATTGGAAATATTAACAAGTTCCGTGTTTTTGTTTTTTGCAGCAAGACGACGAGCGAATCATTCAGGTGATCCAGAAGGAAGGAAGAGGCCGAGCTGAACAAGAAGAGCTCCGGTCAGTAGAGAGTCTGAGGCTCACTGGGAACTGAATTCAATTATTTTGTAGGAACTGTTGAAACTATTGACAACTGCTCTGTTTGTTTATCATGTTTGTTTTTCTTAAACTGATTGTTGGCAGGGACATATTGCATTATTATTCTTTGTCTTTACAACAATATTTATTTATAAAGTCTTTATAAACAGGCAGCCGAGTGCTTCCTGTGTTTGGTTTGTCTCAAAGTGTTTGTGTAAAGAAGGCGAAGGAAGTCTGACATCAGCTAGAAAACCGGACAGGAAGTCCTTTACTAACCCCCCCTTTTTTCTTCTTCTTCTTCTCAGATAATTCGGGGAAGCGGGTCGGCCCCCCCCCCGGAGCCGATCACCGAGGTGAAGCGACCCAGAGTGGGCCCGGCGGCAGAGGACCCCGCCCCGGCCCCCCCCCCCTCACCCACTGGCAGTCCAGGCTCCCCTCTTCGTCCCCCCCCACGCCCGATTCGCCCCTGCTCCTCCACCGCAGGGCAGGATGTTCCAGCAGGTGATTCTACCCAGACTGCCCCCGGCCCCCTACGTGCCCCTTCTACCACACCTGCCCCCCATGAACAATAACAACAACAACAACCATCACCACCACCACCCAAACCTTCCCGTACACCCGCCTCTCCCCCAAAACATGGACATGATGGACCTGCCGATGCACTACGGCCCCCCCCACCGCTACTACAGACGCTTCTAACACAGTCCTGCTTCTCATTTCAGTGCCGTTTTCCACAATATTTTGTATCAATTCCAGCGCGCATCAACGTTTATTCCCAGTTTATACAGATATTTTTGAGAACATAATTTAAAAAAAGAGAAAAACTGTTAGCATTCCCTTCTCAATCTTTTGTGTAACTCGTGTGAGACCACACCATTTTTCGAATAAAGAGTTCTGTTAACGTTGGGTTGAGTTTCCAGTTCATACGAGTTGTACTTTTTAAAGAGGACATATTGTGCTCATGTCCAGGTTCATATTTGTGTAGTGTATCTACTGTGACATGTCTCCATGCTTTAATGTTCAAAAAGCTCTTTATTGTTCTCATACTGCCTGTGCTGCAGCACCTCTTTTCACCCTCTGTCTGAAACCAGAGCCCAGTCTGCTCTGATTGGTCAGCTGGCCCGCTCTGTTGTGATTGGTCAACCGCTTAGAGATGTCCCGCTCCCTTAGCCTTTCACGTACAATGTGTTTGAGCGCTAGCTAATAGAAGATTGAATTGTGTATTTAATTTTAGAATTGTCTTCAGTCAAACTTCATGAAATTGTCGGACCCTGTTTCGTCAATTGAATGGCAACCCTTATTTGATGTTGAGGACATGAATTGATTTCACCATGTTACCGAAGTAACCAAAGGAGTCCAATGGAGGCGTTGCAGGTAGGAGGGGGGGGGGGGGAGTGTGTGGGAGAGAAACTCCCTCCCTTTGCAGACCATATTTATGCACAAAAACCTATAACACACTACAGTAAAACGGAAAAAAGCATATTAGGGCCCCCTTTTGAATGTTTTCGCTATTTACAAAAGCTAAATATCCTTTCTTGCTTCTTATTACCTTTCTGCGTCCCTCTCTCCCCTTTGTCTCTCTCCCCCCCTCCTCCCTGCAGAAAAAGGGGCTGAGTCATGATAACTGAGCCCTCAGGCTATGAACCAATCACATGACAGAGGGGGTGCTTTCCGCCAATCTATGCTTAGCAACAGCCAGGCTTTGTGATGTTACCGAGAGAGGAGACTTCTTTGTTCAGCCAAGTGTGCTGGTGTGACAAATCATTTTGCTACACAGACACACACACACACACTCAGTTACACACTCACAGCCTCTTGTTTCTGCCTGCAGACTATAACAGTAGCTCAGCGAACCCCCGTTATAGCCCTGGGGTCCTAATGGTTTTAGTCATGGGTGGTACCAGACGGTCTGTTTTGTATGAGAGCCAGAATTAGGCTTAATCAGATTCAGCATCTTCTAACACCAGCCGAGCCCTCATGAATGAAATGATGTGTATTTAACAAAGACACAGGACATGAGGGGGCTTCCACAAAGTCTATAAGTATATAAATGGCATTTTGAGACAGTTACACTTAAAGGGAATATGATTTAGTGTTTACAGTCTAACAAATCCCTGCACAGTGTTCATTTGTGTAAATCAAAAGACAGTTAATGGCCTCTGAAGATGGAATGTGAGGGCTTATTCTTCAAATATAATGACACCAGAGGTAATTATTTTGGGGAATAACCTAAACAATTACCACAAAGTCAAAAAACACAGCATTACTGAGGCAACACTCAGGAGATTTAGTGCTGCACATTAATAAAGTCAAGGGATCTTCAAAGAGTAAATGAGACTCTATGGGATGTTGTACTTAGTGCTTAATGCTAATATCTGCTGACAATGCTAACATGTTGGAGTTCAGCAGGTATGACATGTTCCCCGTCTTAGTGTAGCACGTTAGCATGCTTCATCATCAGCACTAAACACAAAATACAGCTGAAGTCTATATTGGAGGTCATAAACTAAAGTATTGAGCAATAATACAATTAAAACCTAATGGTGGCATTTAAAGGTCAGTTGATTACAAAAGTAATTTTCAACGGGAGACAAAGCAATCCATTCAATAGTTGTTGAGACATTAAACTGAAAACCAACAAAGTCAGCCTCATGGGGAACATGAAAATCTAATCCAAATGTCACCGCAATCTGGAGCCACAACTGGTTGTTTAAACATTTCAGGCTGGACCAACATTTGTATCCATTGAGCCACACAGCTAGCAAAGACACAAATGACTTTTAATCTTCAAAAACACTGGATCCTTCACTTAATGCAATACAAGTGTGTCTTTCATTAGGCCCTCCCTGCCTGGTAAACACCAATGTTCTTCAAACTCTTGTGAACACAGCATTTCTGTTGGAAAATTAATTTCGTCATGCAAGCTAAAGCAGAAATAACTCATGTCTTCACTTCTCATGACATCTCAAAGCTCTGTTGACATTTCTGCCAGCTGTGTTACTGTTTTTCCCATGATAAATCCTGTGATAAATGATTTTAGACGGTGAAATAAGTTCACGTTACACTCAGTATGAGTGCCTTTGACTCCCTTGACTGCCGTAAAATACACGGTGGCAGCTCAGCTGACTGTAATCACCCTTATTTACACCCTGACCTGTGACCTTTCACCCTGACTGTCCATTGCCGCTGTCCTGCAACACAAAAAGGACAACGGAGTGATGAGCCTGAATACAATTACGCCTTTCTCAAAAACCATAAAATAAGTAATTTATCCTTTTCCAGCCCTAAATCCTTGAACCCACCCCGGAGCGCTCCAGACGAGCGGGTGGGTCATGGATTACAGGCGGAGAGCATTACAGAGTATTATCTGCTAATGACTCATTTCATTCAAAGAACAAAAGGACAGGCTTAACCGATGTGATTAGTCTCAATAAAGGAAGCTTCTGACAATGCAATGCTGTCACTCATCAACATAGTTATAGTTCCCACTCACTCCCAAAAAATATATATTAATTGTAGGCTATGCAGTAAGATGGAGATTGACTGACGTTTTAGAAGCTTGCTAGAGGAAGTTGAAAAATGTTACATTGCTTTTTAGGATTTTATTTTTAAAACATCTTATCTGACATGAGGAGGCTACATGTTTGTTATTAAATTTGGTACAAATATTTATTGGAAAAAAAGGTAATTCACCCATTAGTATAACTTTAAAGTTTGATACTTGAATTACATTCTCATCAGCTTCATGAGTTGTAGCTACGTTGTGTTTAGCGCTAATTAGCAAACATGCTAAAAAACTAAACTAATCAATATGCCAGCATTGTAGCTTGTTAGCATGCTAACGCTAGCATTTAGCCTAAAAGATCTCAGAACTGCTAGGCTGTATAGGCTACTAATATTTGAACTCTTTATTTTTTCTTTTAATCTAGTTATGGATCCCTGATTTGAACATGCTGGGTAACATGATGAAATGCAAGCATAGGCTACTGTTTAACATATATTTCATATCTCTGTTGTTTTTGTTGTTAGCAATGTTAGCAGTATGAATTAGCTGGACTACTTTATGGTTAAATTAGGTTCATACGTTTTTGATCAATGTGGTGAAGTAAGTTGAATTGTTTGAAGTTGCAGACATTCCCTTCAATTGGGGAAGCCTATATATATTTACATATACAAAAATGCAATTACTTATTGTATTTGAGTATTTTAACCAAATCACCAACACCTACGTTTTTCTAATGTTTGTTAAGCTCCCTTAACTCATTGTGCATGAAAGGTAGCTTATCTGCATTGAACTTCAACTGCCTTATCAAGACATGAATAGTGTAAATCAGTAAAATAACACTGTTCCCAATTGAAACAGCTAAAAAATAAATGCTCAGCCCTTTCAGTGAATAGCTGGTGTGGACCTGATGCCCACAATGGGTTTTTATGAGACACATTGTAAATGTAGACCTGAAAATATGCACCAGACATGACCTGCAGCTCTCTTTGGTATCCTGAGAGACAAACAGGCCTCTGGTTTAACTTCCCGTTTCTGTGACTGTAACATACACTGTGTCCAAACACACATTTTTAGCATCATATCTGGTGACCGAGACAACCTTCACACCCCGAGTCACACATGGTGTGTGTGTGTGTGTGTGTGTGTGTGTGTGTGTGTGTGTGTGTGTGTGTGTGTACGTGCGTGCGTGCGTGCGTGCGTGCGTGCGTGCGTGCGTGCGTGTGTGTGTTAAAGCCCTCTGCTGCCTGGTCCATAAGGACCGCTGGTGTCTGGCAGCATTCGCTCCCCAGACGGTTTCCGCTGCTCCGCTGGCACTGTTTGCGTCTGTTATTGTTTGTGTATTTCTTTAATGAGTGTGTGCTTTTACAGCTGCGCCTCCAGCACAGATGCTCATACAGTTTATAGGACTTTTAATACCTGCTGATAGTTAAACACTAATATTCCCTTACATATTATTTTTATTATGATTTATCACAGTTGATACCAAAAGTATTACAAAACAAAAAGTATCTACAACAAATATAAGACATATTTACACATAATGTAGAAATAAAATAAGGGGAGGGGAAAAAGAGGAGAGGTTTATGCTATTTTTTTATAATTTCCAGTTATCCTTAAATAAACACTTACATTGTTAATCATTTCTTGGCCTTTACACCATGCTCAACATGAAGATTTCCACTTTAGTATTTCAACATTTCTTGGACATTTTCCTGGACATTTTCACATCAGAAATATATCATTTTTTTGTTAAAATATGTATTTTAGCATCGACCACAGGTTTTCACTCTGAAGATTTTTGTACCTAAAAACCTTCACAAATGTTTTAAAATAAAGTCTTTATCACCATTAGCTCCACTGCTCTGATTGAAAGGAAATAATTACATCTGGGGAATAATAAAATCTAACATCTGGAGCAGCACTTAAAACCGGATCACTTGCTTAAGGCTGTTCTGGCACCCAAATTGTCATTGTTAGCATGTTTGCAAGCTTACGTTAGCATTTGGCTGTTTCTAAATGCTGCCAGGAGGGGAATGCATTGACTACGTGCACTTTATTTAAAAAAGTCAAGACATGTCTACATTGTTAAAATGTGACACAATACAGTAGATGTGAAAGCACGCTAAACGTGCCCTCTGTGTCTCTGCTGTTTAATCTGTCATATTGAATCAACCTGCTATTCATCCTGCAGAGACCCGTGTTGCTCCTTCACTTCCTCTAAAGAGATTAGTGACTGACCCGTTGACCCACTGACTCAGTGCCGGGCCACGTGAGAGATGGAGGAACACGAGTGGATGTAGATTTGATTACAGGGAGGAAAAGCCTGCAGAAAGACACACACACACGCACGCACGCACGCACGCACACACACACACACACACACACACACACACACACACAC